CAAGTTCAACCCAATCATCGCAAGCACCTTCTATTTGAAAGTCAATTAAGACATTCCATTCTTTAGTAGCTATATCGGTAGCATTCACCAATATCACATAACCTTTTCGATCATGAACCGCACTAGCAAAGTCTTTTATAAGAGCCTTTACTCCAGAAATTCTTAAAGACTTTCCTATTATTATCAAACAATCAGTCTTTTTCTTATCGTGTTTTGCTATTTTACTAATTTTCAATCCTTTAGGATGTGAATCACCATACAGAATTATTGTCGGTTTCAGTTGTCCAATAGTATGAGGTCGTCTACCTAGTTTTTTCTATTTATTGAAGAATAAATAAGTATTAATTGGTTGATTGTATTTCAAAAGGAAATTAAACTATAGTGCGCGTAGTCTAAAGACATTACATGCTAAACTATATGCACGTGTAACATAATTTGGCCAATAAAAACAGTTATGTTAAAAAACCTATAAATTTAAAATGAATCTTCTCAGCAATAAGCAAAAAAATTTAAATAAAATTCATAGTTTAATAGACTTCATTTTAAGCTATCAAATTACGTATTGCTTTTGCATTTTAATTTTTTTTATGAAGGTGCAATTTAAAAAATTTGATCTCTTTAGTGCACCATATTATATAGCAGGATAGAACACCTGAATAACAGTGATTATGTTTTTACTAAATAAATATAAACAATCGCTCACTTTAATCTGGAAAATTCTTATATTTTGATTGCTTTTTTTGATAATACAGTATATAGAAACTTACTTCTCTTTGCACATCCGGAACAATATGACACTTCACCTTGCTTAAATATCATAATATTGCGTTGCAAAAGGATAAAAATTTGTGCAAACGTTACATCGTAAATTTGCCAAAGTTCCATGTAATTGAACTGCTTGAGCTTGATAATTTTTAACTCTTTAAAATTGCCAATTCACATGTAATCCAGCATAACGGGCTTTTATTGTGATTGGCTGATTTTTGCAGATCATTTCGTGCCATTTGCAAAATATGATTGGTTAATCGATAATCAAAAATCGTTTAACGTTAAGATTTTTTATATGAAGCTAAATTGCAACAAAATATTTTATATAAGACTAAAT